CCATGGAAATCAAATCCCATCTTTTATCCCACCATGGCATGGGGCTGGGAAGCAGCTGCTGTGTCTGATGTGGGCATTTCCCCCCGGGCAGGGTGACACTGGTGACACTGGAGACCCTGGTGAACCAGGACCATGGGGACAGAAGGTGAGGGGTGTCTCTAACCCTGTCCCTCTTTCCAGCACCTCGGGAACACCCCATGCCTGCTCAACCTCTGCTGCTCCATGGTGGGACAGAGCAGGACAGAGGTGTCTCCATGGGTGTCCCCATGGCTGAGGAGCAGCCCAGGGTGACCTGCCAGAGGGTGACACAGCTCACCTCCACGCAGAAGCTCATTTATTGCTGTTCTTTTCCCTCTTTGTGGTGACACTTGTCTCCATCCCTGAGCAGGGCAATGCTGGTCCCAGGGGCATTCCTGGAATTCCCGGTCCAGGAGCTGCCACAGGTGAAATTGGAGGGAAAGGCCAGAAGGGAGAGAAGGGCCGAGAAGGTTTGCTGGCAAGTAGAGCTGGGGCTGGGCTACCTCACCCTGCAATGTCCCCAAAGGCTGGCTGATGGTGCCAAGGAGGCCACTCACCCCTGCTGGAAACCTTGGCCTCTGGGAGCTGCAGAAACCCTAGGAATTGTCAAATCTCCATAACTGGGGAGTTTCATGTCTCACAGGCATGACACCAAAGCTGGGTCCTGCTGGCACAGAAGGATGGTTTGGGTTTGTGGGGCAGTTTGGGGTAATGCTGCCTCCAGCCGAGTTCCTGCCAGGCTGGGAACATTCCTCTCTGTGTGCCAGGGCCAGGGCGGTGTCACCGGAGCTGCAGGACCTGCCGGAGCCAGAGGATGGTTGGTAAGTCAGATCATGTCCCCTGTCCCCTTTCAACCTGTCCAGACCTGCTGGGGGGGATGTTTGTGTGACTGGGAACACTGGCAGGGGATATTTGTGTCACCAGGAGCACTGGGCAGGGCCCATCTCTGTCACTGACCTGGTGAGGGGACATTTTTGTGACTTGGGAGCACTGGTAGGGCTATATTTCTGTCCCAGACCTGCTGAAGGGACATTTTTGTGATCAGGAGCACTGGCAGGGCTCCATTTCTGTCATGGGTCTGGTGAGGGGACATTTGTGTGACTGGGAGCACTGGCAGGGGACATTTGTGTGACCAGGAGTGCTGGCAAGGGACATTTATGTCACCAGGAGCACTGGGCAGGGCCCATCTCTGTCACTGACCTGGTGAGGGGACATTTGTGTGACCGGGAGCACTGGGCAGGGCCCTGCCTCTGTCCCAGAGCTGCCAGGGGACATCTGTGTGACTGGCAGGGCTGTGACCTGTGTCCCTCTGCTTGTGCCCTGAACAGGGGCCACCAGGACTCCGAGGTCCTCCCGGGCTCGACGGTCCCGAGGGAGAGAAGGTACAGAGAGATGATGGCTCCAACCCTTCATCTCCGGGTGAAACTCCCTTTTCTGGCCTCTTCCCAAGGAATTCCCATGTGGGAAATCCCCACATTTCCCAGTGGGAACATGCTGGGACTGGTGCATGGATGTCCTGGGCAGGCTGGTGACAGGGGTCCTGCCATGGGACACCCCTTCCCTTGCTGCCTGAGGTGCAGAGCCAGCAGGGCAGGTGAGGGTTTTCCATGGACAGAGCTGTTTCCTCTCCTTTCCCAGGGAGATGCAGGGCCACGAGGCGTGGATGGACCTGCTGGGGCTGCAGGATTCCAGGTACTGATGCAGGAATGTTGCAGAGCTGGGAATTGCCAAAGGCTTCTCCAGCTCTTCCCTATTTCCAGTACAACCCAAAGGATTTATTGCCCCTTCACTGGCCAGGTTGGGGGGCTCAGAAATGAGGAGGGGGTTTAACACCTCATACCTCAGCACTGGCTCCCAGGACCCTAAAAACCCCAAACTTCCAGTACCTAAACCCCCAAAATCAGACCTTTTCCAGCACCCAGTGGTGCCTCATGGAAAACCTGTTCCTGCTGCCGAATTCTGTTCACTCCCACGTGGTTCCCAGTGCTGTCATGGCCTGTTGAGCATGGGATGTGGGACAGGATGCTCCAAGTCCCCACAGAGGTGAAGGACATGGTGGTGAGGAGCTTTTTCTGAGCCCCCGTGTCCCCACAGGGACAGGCTGGAGATGATGGAGTAAAGGGAGATGATGGCAAGGCTGGCCCGGTGGTGAGTACCAGCTCTGCCCTCAAAAATTCCCTTGGGAAAGAGGTTTGGTGGCATTTTGGGATGTGTCTCACCCTGGGGGTGGCTGCAAAGTGAACTCTGCCCCGCTCGGGGACTGAGTCACTGCTTCCTTGAGATTCCAAAGCTAAAGCTCCCCAAAGGAATTTTAATAGAGCTGTTAAAAGCCGTGCCAAGGTGCCAGGGCTGCAGTCTGCCTGAGGAAGCTCCAGGGCTCTGAATTTCCCTCTCCTTGGAGCAGATCCACAGGTGTCCCTGTGGCTCTGGGAGCTGCCCCGTGCCTGGAACACCTGAGGTGCCCCAGGATGGGGATTATGGTCACGACAGAGAGCCCAGATGTGTTATGGATGCCCTGAGCTCAGCTGCAGCATAAATCCCACTTGCATCCAGGTTTTCCCATTTTGCAGTGCTGCTTTGCCCAGGCAAAACGTGCATGTACAGAACCCCAGAATTGGGTTGGAAGGGACCTCAAAGCTCATTAGATTCTATCCCCTGCCATGGCCAGGGACACCTTCCACAGACCAGGTTGTTCCAAGGCTTTAGCTTGGGTGATTGGCTGGGAGAGGTCAGGCTCTGGAATGAACTCTGGGTGGACTTGCTGTGGAGTAAACTGCAGGGGGATTTGCTGTGGAGTAAACTACAGGGGGATTTGATGTGGAGTAAACTACAGGTGAATTTGCTATGGAATAAACTCCAGGTGGACTTGCTGTGGAGTAAACTGCAGGGGGATTTGCTGTGGAGTAAACTGCAGGGGGATTTGCTGTGGAATAAACTCTGGGTGGATTTGCTGTGGAATAAACCCCAGGTGAATTTGTTGTGGAATAAATCCCAGGTCGTTTTGCAAAGCTCAGTGCAGATGAAGTCCCCTGTTGGTGGCTTTTCGGGCCCTGCTGAGGATGGGGCTGAGCCGTGTCCCCGTCTCTGTGCCCTGCAGGGCTCGCAGGGGGCTCAGGGACTGGCAGGTGCCCCCGGGCTCCGGGGCTACAGCGGGCACGAGGGAGCCAGAGGAGTGGTGGGCACCAAGGGCCAGCCAGGCCGGCAGGTAACGCCTGTGCTCCAGGGGGACGGGCAGGGGACATCCCTGGGGACAACAGCCCCAGCTGTGCCCTCCTGCCTTCCCCTGGTGCCAGCCTCTTGTTTTGTCCCCAAATGAACTCAGGGGATTCTCGGGCCACCGGGCGAAGCTGGAGCCACCGGGCTGAGTGGCACTGAGGTGAGCAGGCTCCTCTCTGCCCCATTCCCTGCTCCAGCTTTTCCAGCTTCCCAGATCTGTGTCCCTCACAGAATAACCCAAATATCTGAATAACCCAAAGTTCTGGATTTGCTTTGAACTCTGGTTTCCTTCTTAGGGCCTGGTGGGTGCAAAAGGGGAGCCAGGCGAGCCGGGAAAACCAGGACAAATGGTGAGGAGTGGGATGGAGCTGTGGTGGCTCTTCCTGAAAGAGGCTGTGGGATGCTGGATCAAAAGTCCAATGCAGGCAGCATCTCCTGCTCCTGTTGCACCCTCCCACAGCCCCTTCTGCCCAGCCTGCTCCACAGAGAGGGAAAATCCCAAAGGGAAGATTCCAGCTTACAGCATCCTCCTGTGCACACTGGGAGGGAAGCCAGGAGGGGCATCCCTGGCACAGCGCCCTCACAGTGGGGTTTCCTTCTCCTTTGGGATTTTAGGGGTCTCCTGGACAAGCTGGTCCTAAAGGACGGAAAGGCTGCAAAGGAGATAAGGTACCCCCAAAATGCACCCCTGGGATGGCGCCTGAGGGGGCTGCCCAGTGGGTGTGGGGTGGGCAAGCCTGAGCTGGTCAATCCTTTTGGGAACCATGGAGAGAAAACTGAGAATTGCCCAGGAGGACCTGTTTTTCCCCACCTGGCAAACACAGGATGGTCTTGGGCTGCCTTAGGCTGGTTTTTGGGTGAGGGGCTGGCAGATCCTGCCTCCAGCCTGGCTCAGGTGGTACCTGGGGGGCCTCCCAAGCTCTTGGTGCCCATCTCCAGAATCCCTCCGTGCCTGCTGGGCTCTGTCCCCATCTCCTCCTCCCCACTCCTGGGATGTGGCTGAGCTGTTGGAGACTCACATCCCGCCTCTCTTCTTCCCCCAGGGTGACACGGGGCAGGAAGGGGACAGAGGGGTCCCAGGAGAAGCTGGCAGACGGGTAAATGGCACTGCTGTCCCCACCAGGGTGGCAGGGAGCTGCTCCTTGGAGCCCGTGCAGGCTCTGCAGGGTGGTCCCAGTTTTCTGGGTGCTCAGAATCCCTGGAGAGGGGATCCTGGAGGGATGAGGGGTGTCTGGATCAGTTTGGAGCTACCTGTGAGTCTTTCATCTGTGGTCCCCAGGGCAAGCGAGGCAAGCCGGGCCAGCAGCCCCCGCGGGGTCCCGGGGGACACAAGGTAGGTGGCTTTGTCAGGCTGCCTTGCCCCCTGGAAGTTTGGGGGTGCTCCCACCTGCCTGAGCCCCGGGTTAGAAAAGAATAAACCATGATAACAGAGGGCTCTGTGCCCCCAGAGCTCCCAGCCCAACAGGGGCATCTCCCACACCCACAGCCCCCGTGGGCTGCTCTCCCTGCCCTGGAGCATCACCCTGGGCACTGCCAGGGCTTCTCCCTTTGCATTTCAGGGCTACCCAGGTGACAAAGGACTTCCAGGGCCCCAGGGACCCCAGGGACCCTACGTGAGTATCAGTGTGGGGTTCTGGGGTGCTGCCTGCTCCCTGTTTGACCCCAGGGTGTGACCCAGCTCTGCAGGGCCCCGAAGCAGGGATCTGTTTAAAATGAGATGAGGGAAGTTTTTAAATGGTTCATCCATCTCCTCCTGTCTTCTCCTCCCAAATTAACATCCCAGGAGGGTGTGTGCAGTCAGACAAATCACATCATCCCAAAAATGTGGTTCTGGAAGCCAAATCCTTCTTTTAGGCATGTGTCTGATGCCAGGCAGTGCTGAGCACTGGTGGGACTGTACCCACATTCCCAGTGAGCTGTCATGGCTGGAGGGACAAACTGCAGCCAGCAAAAAGCACCCAAATACTCATTTTAATTACTAGAAATTGATTTTCCTCTGCTTAAAATAAAAAAAAAAAGCCCAACTTTGGCAACTTCACAAAAAACAAGCTGGATATTCTCAGCCATCCAAGGCACCTCTAGTGCATTTTTAATGGGCTTTGCTGAGGGATCCTCCTGAAAGAAAAAATTGAAAGAAACAATGAGAAAATACCTCAAAGCTTCTAAAACTGCCTGAAATGCTCAGAATCCTCAGGTGTGGGGAGGGCCCTGCTGCTGACAGGAGCAGCTCAGCTGCAGGGTGAGGCAGTTCCACGTTTCTCTCTTAGGGCATCCCAGGGCTGAAGGGCATCAAAGGAGAGCCTGGACCGAAAGGACACAAGGTAGGGGACACATACCACGCACAGCAGGGATGCTGGGTGGCATTTAATTTGCTGAATGCCATCCCTTGTTCTCCTCTTTTTGAGCCCTGATGGCTGCACCATCTTTCTCTGAGGGTTGGCCACCATGTCTCCGAGTGCTGGGAGATAGAACCTTTAGATTTTCCCCCATATACAGTCCTTTTGCAGTTTTTTCCTTCCTCCTGGGGTTGCAAGCAGCAGTGTGGAGCTTTTTAATCCCTGCTCTCAGCATTGATGCTGATCACCACGAGCTGAACCTCCTTTGTGCCATTCCTGATGGATCCTTGGCTGGAAAAACTGAGCACATCCCATCCCATCCCATCTCTGGCAATGGGGACTTGCTCAGAGCCTTCAGGAAAACAAAACCTTGGGAATCATTAAAACTTTAAATTTATTGTCTGCTCAATGATCAGCTCCAGGGAGAGCAGGCAGAGGGGTGGCTGTGCTGGGATTTTTCCCTTTTTGGTTTCAGCACACCAAGAGTCTTCTTTATTCTCTCTAAGTGATTCCTGGCAACTTCCAAGGCTTCCCTGTGAGATATATTAGTCTGGGATGATCCTTTCAGTTTGGAGCTGATCACCCCTCCTGCTGCCTCCGTCCCCAGCAATGTGGGTGCAGTGAATTCTCTGGAACCAAAAGGATGGGTGCTGGGGGGGTTTTGCTCCAGAAGTTTTGCAGCCAGCCATAACTGGGAATTTCCCCACCCACCCTGCTGTCCTGGGGGTTCTGTCCTTCCCTGTGCCACCAAAGCTCTCCCTGACTCTCTCCTAGGGCGAGAAGGGCAGCAGGGGTGACCTGGGCCAGCAAGGGGATGATGGCTTCAAGGTGTGTGACAGGTTTTGCTCTTTCCTTCCCCCCTGGCTCCTTGTCACCCTGTGTGACATCCTGCCGCATTTCCCAGGGCAAGCCAGGACCCCACGGTGTCCCTGGGAGGCCAGGACCCAAGGGAAAGCAGGTAAGGGCAGGCTGGAGAGGGATGTCAGGGACTGAAATGAATTTGGGGTGAATTTCCTGTTTTTCTATATAAAATCCACCTGGGGAAGGGGCTGGGTTGTAGAAGATGCAGGGCTGGGGGATGGTCCTGAGCTCCTCTGTTGTCCTTGCAGGGTGACACTGGCCCCCCTGGCCCACAGGGACACCCTGGAATTCCTGGAACACCGGTGAGTCCTTCCCCCTCCCACAGGTTTGGGGTTCACTCCTCACCCCACAGGGATGCAGCTTTGATCCCACCTGCCTCCCTCTTACCCTGGTCTGGTCCTTTCCTTCCAGGGCTCGTCTGGACCCAAAGTAAGCAGTGGGGAGCAGCTGGAGTGGGGTCAGCCCTGCCACGGGATCCCTTCCCTCCTTCCCACTCCAGGGGTGCAGGGGGCCCGTGGGGGTGCAGCTCAGCACAGCAGCATCTCCCACCTTGCTTTCTTTCCCTTCTCCACCTCCTCCCTTGGCAGGGGCTGAGAGGCTTCCCGGGCCTGCCAGGCCCCCGGGGCACACCAGGATTGCCGGTAAGCAGAGCCACAAACACCCCTCAGCCCAAAATTTGGGTCACTCACTCCCCTAAGCGTGGCAGTGAGGCTCTGCCGTGCCATGCTGTCATTCCATGGGGATGTCCAGCTGCTGGCACTGGTGGAGGAGCTGCTGAGGTGCTCGTGGGCAGCAGCCAGTGCCACCAGCACTGTCATTGTCCCCCAGGGTCTGGCTGGCCCCCCTGGTCCCAGTGGGCCTGCACTGATGCTGTCCCAGGAGGAGCTGCAGGTGAGTGACCCTTGCCCAGGAGGGAAGGAGCTGCCAGCGATGCTGTCCCATGTCCTGCTGCTTCTGAAGTCGCCTGTGCACGAGGACCATGAAGATCCAGCTACTCCCTCTCTCCCCTCTAGTCCTTGCCCCCTGCACGTGCCATCCCCTTCCTCAACACCTGATGATGTTCCTGGCGGGGGGATCTGTGGTCAGCTTGGTGATATCCCCTCCTTTTTCTTTCAGCACCTTATTTACTCCTCCAACCACCTGAATTACACCGTGGTCTGGGCTCTGCTGGACTCCCTGAGCCGGGAGCTCCAAGCCCTCGTGGAGCATCCCAATGGCACCAAAAGCAACCCAGCCACCACCTGCAAGGAGCTGCTGCTGGCTCACCCCGGCCTGCCTGACGGTACCAGGGGCATGGGGGCCCCCTGGACCTGGCCTGGTCTCCAGAGCCTGTGAAGGGACAGGCAGCTCTTTGAAATAAAGAGGGAATGAGGATTTTGGGGAATGAGGTCAGATGGGCTTTGTGGGCATCCCTGGAGAAACGGGCTGGCAGCCAGGCCCCCAGCTGGGGTGGGATGGCACTTTGTGGCACCCTCCCTGTGCCAAACCTGGGTGCCAGGGCTCTCCTCTCCTCCCTCCAGGGCAATACTACATCGACCCCAACCAGGGCAGCCCCCAGGACGCGCTGAGGGCCTTCTGCAACTTCACAGCTGGGGGGGAGACCTGCATCGCTCCCGTCCACAACCAGGTACGGGGTGGCTTTCATGGGTTAGCTTCAGCCCCGAGGGACCCCTCAGGGTGGGTGGGGAAAAGGACTGGTGGGGTGGAGAGGGACAGGGTGCCCAGTCCCTTGCTGTGGTGCCCCCTGCCCTGGCAGGGAGCTGTTGGAGCACTCTGGAGTGAGGATCCTGGTCACAGCGTGTGCCAGGCTGCAGGGACACACGGGGGCTCTGTGCTGGCTCCTTGTCCTGTCAGTGCCACTATCCCCCACGGGGACAGCGTGACAATTGTCCCCGCTCCCCTCAGGTCCCCATCAAGGCTTGGCTGAGCGCCTACAGCTCTGAGAACACCTTTGAGTGGTTCAGCACCCTGCCCGGGGGCTTCCTGGTGAGTGCCCGGCTGGAGCAGCAAGGGGACACAGAGCTGAGCTCGGGGGTCTCCAAGCGCCACCCCGCAGTGCTGGGCCAGCACTCGGGTCCCCTGCCTGTGCACAGAGGGATGTGGCACCTCCTTCTGCGAGGAGCAGCGGCTGGACCCTGCCGGGGTTTAGCCCTGGGGGGAGCGCAGCCCCTATCCCGGGTTTCCCTCCCGCTGTCCCTGCAGCTGGAATACGCCGGGGCCAGCCCGGTGCAGCTGCGCTTCCTGCGCCTGCACAGCCACCGCGCCACGCAGAAGGTCTCGTACTCCTGCGGAGCGGCCCCGGAGCGCGGCCGGCCCCAGCCCCGCAGGGAAATCCGCTTCCTGGCCGACTCCCGGGACCACAGCTATGCGGCCAGCCTGCAGGGCTGCCTGGTGAGCCCGGCCCTGCGCAGCCTGTGTGCCTGGAAAAGGCTCCCGACATTTGGAGAGCCCTTAGGAGAGTGTTTGACCCCCTGCAGCTGGATGAGGCTGCACACGGTGGGGTGGGATGGGGATGGAGAACATCTCCTCCCCGGGCCCAAGGAGCTTCCCGGTCTTGCGATGGGGTGGGGGACATGGGGGAGGTCACCACCCTGGAAAAGCCAGGAAGGGCTGGGGATGGAGACTGGCTGCAACAAGGAGCAGCTAAGGGAGCTCCAGCTGAGGGGTTTGGTGCCACTCAGCTGTCCCTGGTGGTCGTTTCAGCTGAACAACGAGTCCTCCATCTCGGACACCATCTTCCAGTTCAGCACGGAGCAGCTGTGGCTGCTGCCCCTGCGGGACCTGGCTGTCTTCCACAACGGCGACGCCTCGCACCAGTTTGGTTTCACAGTCGGACCAGTTTGCTTCAGCTGAAAGTGGTGCCACCCAAACCGAGCCAGCTGGTTCTGTCCCCACCCAAGAGCCATCCCAATGGGGACAAGTGGATGCTGGGGGTGGCACAGGGCTCCCACCTGCTCCACAGAGCTGCCGGTTCCGAGCTCCGTGTTTGGAGCTGTGTTATGTCCCGGACTCCACTTCCTTCTGGAGTAGAGGAGTATTGTTTACAAAAGTCATTTCTCTATAAATTATATATTATATATGTATATATTATATATGAGAAGGTGCTGATTTAATGAGTGCTTGGGGGAGGTTTGTGTAATTATAGTCACTGGGAACTGTCTGTAAGGAAAAAAAAAAAAACAAGGAGCAAAACTAGTGCCAGCTTGGGAAAAGGGGAAGAAAAGGGCTTTTCTTTGCCAGGGTCAAGTGCACAAATATTTGGAGGACTGATTGACCAGGACTGGGCTGGGAAGTGGCCCTGGAGCCTGGGAGAGCCCAGTGTGGTGCTGCTCCTGCATCTCCCTCCCAGCCAGGCACCAAGTGCTGCCAAGGGGTTAAAATGTTAATCTCCCCCAAATTCTGCCTCTGTTTTGAGTCTCCACTTCACTGCAAGGGATTTGTGTAGTGTAGAGCCAGGCACTGTAGCACTGGGTGCCTTTGTGGGCATCTGCACCTGCTGGCACTTGGGGAAACTGAGGCAGGGCCAGCTGATCACACTAATGGGGATGGTTGGAATGTCCCAGCATGGAACCAACATCTGTGTGCTTCTAGTCACAGCTGGAAGGAAAGTTCTCCTTTGTCCTGCCTGTCTATAGAGAAAATAAAATCACAGAATCCTAAATGGTTTGGGTTGGAATAGAACATTAATCCCATCCAGTGCCACCCCTGCCATGGGCAGGGACACCTCCCACTGTCCCAGGCCGCTCCAAGATCCATCCAAACTGACCTTGGGCACTGCCAGGGATCCAGGGGCAGCCACAGCTGCTCTGGGCACCTGTGCCAGGGCCTGTCCACTCTCACAGGGAACAATTCCTCATTCCCAATCTCCCATCCATCCNCGTGACAATTGTCCCCGCTCCCCTCAGGTCCCCATCAAGGCTTGGCTGAGCGCCTACAGCTCTGAGAACACCTTTGAGTGGTTCAGCACCCTGCCCGGGGGCTTCCTGGTGAGTGCCCGGCTGGAGCAGCAAGGGGACACAGAGCTGAGCTCGGGGGTCTCCAAGCGCCACCCCGCAGTGCTGGGCCAGCACTCGGGTCCCCTGCCTGTGCACAGAGGGATGTGGCACCTCCTTCTGCGAGGAGCAGCGGCTGGACCCTGCCGGGGTTTAGCCCTGGGGGGAGCGCAGCCCCTATCCCGGGTTTCCCTCCCGCTGTCCCTGCAGCTGGAATACGCCGGGGCCAGCCCGGTGCAGCTGCGCTTCCTGCGCCTGCACAGCCACCGCGCCACGCAGAAGGTCTCGTACTCCTGCGGAGCGGCCCCGGAGCGCGGCCGGCCCCAGCCCCGCAGGGAAATCCGCTTCCTGGCCGACTCCCGGGACCACAGCTATGCGGCCAGCCTGCAGGGCTGCCTGGTGAGCCCGGCCCTGCGCAGCCTGTGTGCCTGGAAAAGGCTCCCGACATTTGGAGAGCCCTTAGGAGAGTGTTTGACCCCCTGCAGCTGGATGAGGCTGCACACGGTGGGGTGGGATGGGGATGGAGAACATCTCCTCCCCGGGCCCAAGGAGCTTCCCGGTCTTGCGATGGGGTGGGGGACATGGGGGAGGTCACCACCCTGGAAAAGCCAGGAAGGGCTGGGGATGGAGACTGGCTGCAACAAGGAGCAGCTAAGGGAGCTCCAGCTGAGGGGTTTGGTGCCACTCAGCTGTCCCTGGTGGTCGTTTCAGCTGAACAACGAGTCCTCCATCTCGGACACCATCTTCCAGTTCAGCACGGAGCAGCTGTGGCTGCTGCCCCTGCGGGACCTGGCTGTCTTCCACAACGGCGACGCCTCGCACCAGTTTGGTTTCACAGTCGGACCAGTTTGCTTCAGCTGAAAGTGGTGCCACCCAAACCGAGCCAGCTGGTTCTGTCCCCACCCAAGAGCCATCCCAATGGGGACAAGTGGATGCTGGGGGTGGCACAGGGCTCCCACCTGCTCCACAGAGCTGCCGGTTCCGAGCTCCGTGTTTGGAGCTGTGTTATGTCCCGGACTCCACTTCCTTCTGGAGTAGAGGAGTATTGTTTACAAAAGTCATTTCTCTATAAATTATATATTATATATGTATATATTATATATGAGAAGGTGCTGATTTAATGAGTGCTTGGGGGAGGTTTGTGTAATTATAGTCACTGGGAACTGTCTGTAAGGAAAAAAAAAAAAACAAGGAGCAAAACTAGTGCCAGCTTGGGAAAAGGGGAAGAAAAGGGCTTTTCTTTGCCAGGGTCAAGTGCACAAATATTTGGAGGACTGATTGACCAGGACTGGGCTGGGAAGTGGCCCTGGAGCCTGGGAGAGCCCAGTGTGGTGCTGCTCCTGCATCTCCCTCCCAGCCAGGCACCAAGTGCTGCCAAGGGGTTAAAATGTTAATCTCCCCCAAATTCTGCCTCTGTTTTGAGTCTCCACTTCACTGCAAGGGATTTGTGTAGTGTAGAGCCAGGCACTGTAGCACTGGGTGCCTTTGTGGGCATCTGCACCTGCTGGCACTTGGGGAAACTGAGGCAGGGCCAGCTGATCACACTAATGGGGATGGTTGGAATGTCCCAGCATGGAACCAACATCTGTGTGCTTCTAGTCACAGCTGGAAGGAAAGTTCTCCTTTGTCCTGCCTGTCTATAGAGAAAATAAAATCACAGAATCCTAAATGGTTTGGGTTGGAATAGAACATTAATCCCATCCAGTGCCACCCCTGCCATGGGCAGGGACACCTCCCACTGTCCCAGGCCGCTCCAAGATCCATCCAAACTGACCTTGGGCACTGCCAGGGATCCAGGGGCAGCCACAGCTGCTCTGGGCACCTGTGCCAGGGCCTGTCCACTCTCACAGGGAACAATTCCTCATTCCCAATCTCCCATCCATCCCTGCCCTCTGGCACTGGGAGCCATTCCCTGTGTCCTGTCCCTCCATCCTTGTCCCCAGTCCCTCTCCAGCTCTCCTGGAGCCCCTTCAGGCCCTGGAAGGGCTCTGAGCTCTCCCTGGAGCTTCTCCTCTCCAAGCTGAACACCCCCAAAACATCCTTCCGCATTTTTGGGGTGCAAACCCCGGCTGCCAGCAGCAGAAAGCCCCCGGTGCGCTGCAGAGCGAAGGGAAAGCGAAAGCCGGGCGGCGGAGCCCGGGCGGGGCCGCGGGAGGAGGGCGCGGGCGAGGGCCCGCCCGCACTACGGGAGCCGGGCAGCGCCGGGCAGAGCCGGGACAGCGACAGCAGCGCCGGGCAGAGCCGGGACAGCGCCGGGCAGAGCCGGGACAGCGACAGCAGCGCCGGGCAGAGCCGGGACAGCGCCGGGCAGCGCCGGGACAGCGACAGCAGCGCCGGGCAGAGCCGGGACAGCGCCGGGCAGCGCCGGGCAGCGCCGGGACAGCGCCGGGCAGCGCCGGGACAGCGACAGCAGCGCCGGGCAGAGCCGGGACAGCGGGGGTGGCATCAGGGGTGGCAGCGGGGGTGGCATCGGCCTGGCAGCGGCGGGACATCGGCGGGACAGCGGCGGGCAGAGCCGGGACAGCGGCGCCGGGGGAGCCGCCGGGCCCCGCGCCCGCTGCCGCCGCCACCATGCAGGTGAGCCCCGGGACGGGACGGGCAGGGCGCCGGAGACCTCCCTGGAACCACGGAAACCCCCCTGGATCCCCGTGATTCCACCCTGGAACCCCAGAAATCCCCCCTGGGTCCCCGTGATTCCACCCTGGATCCCCGTGATTCCACCCTGGAACCACGGCAATCCCCCCTGGAAGCACGGAAACCCCCCTGGAACCCCGTGATTCCACCCTGGATCCCCAGAAATCCCTCCTGGAACCCCCCCGTGATTCCACCCTGGAACAACGGGAATCCCCCCCTGGAACTCTATGAATCCCCCCTTGAGCCCCAAAAATCCCCTCGGAACCCCGTCATTGCACCCTGGAACCCCGTGATTCCGCCCTGGAACCACGAAAATCCCTCCTGGAACCCCGTGATTCCACCCTGGAACCCCAGAAATCCCCTCGGAACCCCGTGATTCCGCCCTGGAACCACGGAA